TGCCCAGATTTCATCTTTTTTAATCCAGCTCTTGATGAAATTAGCCAGTATTTCAACATATTTAACACCAAATGCTTATTTCTTAATTCCCTGAGTTTTGTAAGCAATCAACTGAAGATGACTTAAAAAAATTCAATAGTCTTCTCATTTAGAGCTCATGTAAACTCCAGAGAACTTACGGACTTTGAGCTTCTCAGGACAGTGCAGGTAGACACACATATAGAAACAGCGACTCATATACACATTGTTGTAGATCCACCATAATCATGTTTTTTAAAAAGCAGTCAATGAGAGCTTAGCATTTAAACAGCAACATGCCTCTTTATCTTCCTATGCAGAGATACATATCTTTGGATATTTCCCCTTCAGACACATAAAATCCCAAACCACTACAAACCTCAAAATATTGGTTTTAGTCTATTCTGACGCAAGAGCACTCCAGTTGGAATGTTTCAGAAGTGATGCTGAATATCACAAAACTAATGATGATGAGTCGCATAGCACACCATCTACCAAAGAAACAGAAGGAAAAGGATGCCATTTGTGACCTTGGGCATCAAGCAAATTTCAGAATATATGAATGTCACTTGCCACAAGCACAGGCAGAAATCTCAGCACATTGTACAAAACTGACCTATGCATTTTTTCTATCTTAATATCAGTGATTTATATCACATGGAACAAAATACATAGGGTAGGTATTATCCTGTGTGCACTGCAGAAAGCTTGAATCCTTTCCTTGATATTTTAAAACTTGCAACTATCATAAAGTATGGAGTATTGGAGATTTGAATAAAATTAGTCAATATCTATGCATCCATGTTTTTATATTAGATGTCGTTTATAGTCCCAAATTCTAGTTTTGCTTCACTAAGAGTAAATACATTTACTGCTTCCAATGCACTAAGTGTCACCCTGATCCATCTGGGACACATCTGTTACTGACTTTTTGTTGATTTCCCCCTTTTTTTCCCACAAGAGTATACTCTGCCACCTTAGCTACAATTGTGCTATTCCAACTGGTCTTTCTGATCATATGAAAAACAAACTTAATAAGTAATCATTTCTAAGCCAATTTTAAACAATTCTTAGGTAAATGGTTTGTACTCATTCCCTCCAGATTCTCCATCCAAGAACTTTGAAAGCAAGGGCTGGAAATGGCTATGCTATACCCTGGCCACTTGTCCTCCAAAGGCTATGACCGTAGCAATCAATTCCAAGGATAATGGTATTTCTCCCCTTTGATCATTTCTTTGTCAAGCTGACTGGCCTTCGATGGTGAGCTTACTGCTGGTTGTCTACCACCAGCCGCTCGCAATTTGCTCACTCTGTTTCATGAGACAGTTGTTTGTGGCTGTTTGGAACACATTGGTCTCTTTGGGGATTTATGCGCTAGCTGCAATGCCAACCTCTGTAGTGATAAAAATTTCTTTCGAACTAAAATAGATAATTAGAGGCTGGTAATTATTGGTCAAGAATTATCAGAGTGAAAAAAATTAAGCTTCTCATAAATAGTTCTTGGCAATGTCATCTCTTTATATTATCGCATGCCTAACAACCCTTTATTCAGAGCACTTACAAATTTACTCTACTGCTGTTGAGCCTCATAATTTTATATGAGGCAATCCCTTTGCTGGGTGAAACACATTTACATTCTCTGGTCTCATCACTATCTGTGCTAATCCATACCAAATAATAATAATAATAGAAATATCAAAGGGGGGGAAACAATAAATATTTACTGTGCTGATAGAAGGAGAGTGAACGATGAATTAAAGGACACAGTGCACAACGGCTTCTTTCTGCATTCTCAGGTCAAAAGCCAATGTAAACTATGGGAAAGAAACAAAGGAAGACCAGAAAAAATGTTTCATCTGTGCAGACTTTAAAAGAGGGAAATCTTTTCCCCAGGAAAGCTGTTAAAGCGTTTTGTAGCTCTTGGAGGGGGTTGGTGTGTGTGTACGTGTGTGTGTGGGTAAAGAAGAGAAACCTCTAAATACTCGCTGGTCTGATTTCTTACTGAAACTGTGTCAAAATGCGATCGAGAGTGAGGTTTTCTTTTTTCCTTAATAGACATAAGTCAAATCCCCAATGCATGTTTATTGAGTAATTATTCCTGCAACTCAAAGCACGTGTCCACACCTCACTGCAAAATGGCACTTCGGCACAGCATCTCCAGTGTATACCTGGTGGAAACACTGATGGGTTTCCTTTCACAAATGTCCCTGGCCAATAGACTGAGACCAGCACATCCAGAAAGAAGCGTGGAGGATCCCTGACATTGAAACATGTGTGCTATGTAGAAGCAAATGCAAATGACTTGGTCAAAGAAGGAATTTAAAGTCACACTTCATTGGGTCATCTGCAGACCCTGTTTTCCATCAGGTGACATAATCTCTCCTCCAGACTGATTGAAATGGAAAACAAAATCTGTAAAAACACTATAGGCCCTCTTAACAAAAAGAGTAAGAGGCTTTTCAGATAGCCTCTAATCCCTCTTCCTTGCTAAATGTCCAGTTGAGATTATTTTTTGATTAGACAAAAAAACATATACAGATACACAACCTAAAAATACCTACCCTCAATGGAGGTATTTTAGCCAAAAGAATCATGCTGCCTGGCTCATTTGAAAAACTAAGCATCACACTGGGATTTTAAAAAGGGATATCTTAGCCTTTGTGACATCCTCCTGGTACACATTCTCTCTCTCTAGATACTAACAATGCAGAGGGGAAGAAATATAAGGACCTGGATACATGGTCAACAGTTATAACAATTAAATGGCTACTATTCTTTTGTTTAGGCCTCAAGTATAAGAGAATTACATATTTTATTATTAAAAAATAGCATGAATATTAACTACCTAGGCCCTCTGTGAAAAGGAATAGAATTTTCTTCTCTGATGGAAGGTGAATTGTTAAACGTTCAGATCCCAAGAGGAGGTGAGTGTCATATTAATCCACCATAAGGTAGAGGCGGGGAAGCTTTGGGAAAATACTAATGATGCAAGGAATATTAAGAGAAATAGCAAATGAAAGGTATAAAGCAATTTTTAAAAAGGACCAGGCCAAATCAATGAACATTTTGGACAAATGATACTAAAATAAAAAATTCTTCTCATGCTCAGCATTCCATTCAGATTCTACTTGGCAAAAGAACATTAATAATGTGTTGAAAATATATTCCATTTGTTCAGCTGGGCCCTGGGATAAATAATAAATCCAGAACCAAAAACAAGTTTACAAAGAATAAAACTAATCAGAAGCACAATGTTCCACTAAATTTTCCATAAGCTGCAAACTTCCAAGAAATATTTTCACTAACACCCTTGTAAAACTGTGGCCTAATGCAGAATCATGACTGACTGCCACCAGTAAGCTTTACTCAAGAAATAAAGAGATGGAAAATATTAACACTCATATTTGGAAAGACAAATTCATTTTTTCTAACCCATGTGTTTCCCCCCATGCCAGTCCATTTTGAAAGTTTACATAGAGTATTTTTTGGAATCCAAAACAGAAAGGAAAACGTAAGAAACATTTCAGTCTCTCTTACATGTTCTCATTATCTTCTGAACACTCAGTAAAACTGTCAATGTTATTCTGGCACATTTAAGAGTATTTCCATTTAATGCGGAGGAAACTCACTAGTAATATTAGTACTTATATCTGGAAAATATAGAGGAAAAAGTAACCTATATTTTAGCTGTTAGGTATAAGCTGCATATCGTATAATTAAACACTTAGTCTTTTGTAAACTGTAATCCTCCTAAAGATCATCATTAGAAAACTATAAAGCAAATCCTACTAAAAACCTATTAATAAACTTTCCAACATGCTTTTGACTTCATCTTCATTAATAGGTACAAGGTCATTAGAAATTTTGTTACAGCTGGTTGTAAGGATCAGTAATTATAATTGGAGCAACCCTTCTACTGCACCCTCTTAGAATGCAGCTGATCAGGTGTATGATAAAACTTGTTTACCCCTGAAAAGGAGTTCAGAGTTTAAAATGCTGAATTTTCTTTCCTAAGAGTTTGATAGACAGAGAGCATGAGGTTGATCACACTTTTGAAATACCATATCACAATAATTTATGATATTATAAAATACCATGAAAGTAGTATGAAATAAAAAAAAACTCACATCATGTAAAAACACAAATGAGTGACAAAAATAGTATAAAGTAATAGCAATTGTCATTTTACTAGTAGAAAAAGATCTGCTTGATAAAGTTTAATTGGCTGGTAAAATTCTTAGTGTTATTATGAAGTGCTTATCAAATTAAAACATAGGAGGTAACCCCAGAGGAATTAAGGGATAATGGGACAATAAGAGTAAGTGAAAAAATTATCCTTTTAGCTGTAGCCCATGTGAAAAATGCAAAATCCCTGAAAACACAGGCTTAGAGTAACCTCAGAGATCTTTACCCGAACTGCTTTTATAAAAATCTGCATAAAATTTGGTGGGGAATAAAAAATGATGACTGAATTCTTTACATGATCTTTATGATCATGATTATTTCCAGGCTGTTGAAACCATACATATAAAATTATTTTATGGCAATTTAAATTATTTATGTTTCCCTATCACAAAAACTCACCACTTTAGATTTGGATACAAAGATGCTTAAGCAACACACAGCAGTGCCATTACCATAATAACTTCTGAAATTAAAACCTGTCTAAAACTCTATGGAAAGCTAACATCCAGTTCATTAACCATTCCTGTTAGTTTTCAATAATGCAAAAATGATTAGAAGTTTAATTTGTTAATCACCTGTGTTTTGACTGGCAGTAGATATATAATCCTCTGCAGAAGTCTAAACTAGCCCTTGCAGAAAATAAAATGTGCTAATGCCTTATCAGGCCTAATAATAGTAATAAAAAAAATCAATCATGCCTAGGTAAATCATTGATGGCTGAACAATTAATTCATCTTTAACTCTGTTTAATTATATAGGCATTGTACACAAGGAAGAGGAAAATCTGTCTATAAGAAGGTTCGGAGTGTCACTTACCAATCATGTGATTTGCAACATGCACCTGAATATCCCATTCATTGTAGAAAACCATCTGACACTTGATGCACTGATAGGTCTTCTTCTGAGAAAACAAGTATAAACAGAATTACTTAGACACATGCATATTTTTATTTTTTTCTTTAGGAAAACAAAAAACAAAAAAACCAACCCTACCTGATCACAGAATTTTCCCGAGACCATGGTCTTATATATGTTGTTAACTAAACATCTGTAGGGCCACGTGGGCAAAATTCTGTGAGTTCCCTACTATGACCCATGGCTTGATCCAACCATTATGATTTTCGTTGCAAACAGTTGGAAGAAATGAAGACACATAATTATAGTACAATACATGTTTAAAGATTCCTACTTTATAAAAACAGAAGTTGGTATTGAAAATACATGTAAAGCGTGGCTGAGTTTCAGAAACCTGTGTCTTTGAGGATCAGGCACACTTTCATTCTGAACAACATAACTGCAGGGTTGCTTCAAGATACCCACACAAAACAGCCAGTAAGTGAAGATTCACAAAATCTAGCTAAGAGATTTAGAGATGATAATTTTTAGCTGAAGTATGAAATTTAGATGATGTTTCAGAACTTGCTGAACACTAGCATTTAAATACATATCTCCTATAAAGAAATCATGTCATATTGAACATTCTAAAACCGTTTCATCATTACACAAAAGTCTTGTGAATAGACAGAACAGGATTTATTATAATTCTTGTACCATAAATAAAGAAACTGAGGTCCAGGGAAGTAGAATAATGTGTCTAGTGTCACAGTGCCTTACAGCTGGGAAGAGAAATAAGTTCTCTCTCTCTTTTTCCCCCAAACTTTAAACTTTCTATTTTGTATTAGGGTACAGCCGATTAACAATGTTGTGGGAGTTTCAGGTGATTAGTGAAAGGACTCAGTCATACATATACATGCATCCATTCTCCCCCAAATCCCCTCTCCCATCTAGGCTAGCACATAACACTGAACAGAGTTCATTGTGCTACACAGTAGGTCTTTGTTGGTTATCCATTTTAAATATAGAAATGTGTACATGACCTTCCCAAAGTCCCTATTTTTTCCTTCTGACAACCATAAGTTTGTTTCTTAAGTAAGAAAAACACTGACAATCACCAAGGAGGATTTACTGCGCTGAGCTGTAAATGTGAGTCTCTTTCTGTTTTCTTTTTTTTTTTCCATTTATTTTTATTAGTTGGAGGCTAATTACTTTACATTATTGCAGTGGTTTTTGTCATACATTGAAATGAATTAGCCATGGATTTACATGTATTCCCCATCCTGATCCCCCCTCCCACCTCCCTCTCCACCCGATCCCTCTGGGTCTTCCCAATGTACCAGGCCTGAGCACTTGTCTCATGCACCCAACCTGGGCTGGTGATCTGTTTCACCCTAGATAATATACATGTTTCGTGTTTTCTAAGTTCATTTGTATAATTTCTTTTTAAATTCCACCTAAAAGGGATGTCATACAATATTTCTCCTTCTCTATCTGACTTACTTCATTCAGTATGACACTCTTCAGGAAATAAATTCTCAATTCTAAAAGTAGGGCTCTCTGATAAAGTCAGCCTTTACGATTCTTCATCTTTATCTCCATGTCCCCTATATGGCTTAGTACATATTAGATGAACTCAATAAGTAAAGTATTGCTTTTAAGTTTTCCAGAACACAGTTACATAATTGCCTTTATGATGAAACTTGATAGTTACAATTAAAAACCACCTTGGAAAACAAAATAAAGCATTATGAAATAATCCATTTGAAACTCTCCCGAAAGTGAGAAAACGACATTTGTAAAATCACATCAATGACAGTTTGTTAAGACTTTCTTACAGAATTACCACTTCATTGGCAGTCATATAAAATTGCTTTACTAATGGTACCAAGAGAAAATATCAGTCTGTCAACTGCAATTAATTTTAAAGAACTCAACAAAATCAAAGTTAAGCAAAAAAAAAAAAAAAGTCGCATCCTTTTATTAGTAGTTAAAATGATAAATGCTTTTAAAGTAAAGTTTTCTTAATTATTTTCTCTTAACATAGTATTTGCTTCTGTGTCAGAGGATGGTATTCCTTGAACAACACAGAAATGCAGGCTGATTTCCAGCAGAAGCTTTCTACATAATCTAATAGGCCTTGTACATTAGGCATGTTGTGAATTGAGTGTGCTGGGTCTAAATTTAACACGGACTTGAAAAACCCTGACAATCACCAAGGAAGATTTACTGCGCTGAGCTGTTTGCAAGATGCTTTTGATGGTGACATATAGAGCAACATGTGTTGTGTAAATAACATCGCTCCCTTTTTTAACAATATTTCCCTTTAGAACTAGTTAGAAAATATTTCTTACTCCCAGATGACCTACATTATATATTGTTTATTAGCATACTTCCAGCATCATTCCTGATATGTGACCTTGCTGAAAAACAAAGAAACATAAACTTAATGGCTAGTCTTTTCTCTTGTTAGCACAGTAAAACATACAATATGTCGAAAACTGTCTCCAAAAATGATGACTGATGAATATGTTGGTGGAATATACTAGGGCTTTTTTTTTCCTTTGTCTAATAATAAAGAATAAAATCACTTGACAAGCCAAAATAATAAAATACCAGCACTTACTACTGCCTTCAAAATGAACTGACACATTGGAAGCTCTGTGTATATCAGTTTTCTTTATCACTGAAAGAAAATGCTTTTGTCACTACTGCTGATGATTCAAATACTAATTCTACTCTGAAGACAATATCTAAAATGTTACTTTCTATTAAGAGAGTCATAGTCTGATGTACAAGCTCTTAAATTTGGGACTAGATAGAGTAAGAATTTAATGTGATCAAAAGTACGGTCTTAAAATGCTATAACTTAAACTTCATCTCGTCAGACATCTCATATCTCCTAAATAAAAAGCAGTGATACAGAAATTTGGATGTGCTGTGGTTTTCTTTTTAAAGCTTTGGTATAAAATTCTTTTTTTTTTTCCCCTTGGTTTGGGATTGACATGCACACAGTGCTGGGTTTAAAATGGATAACTAATAAGACCCACTGTATAGCACAGGTAACTGTGCTCGATATAATGCAACAACCTAAATTGGAAAAGAATTTGAAAAAGAATGGATATGTGTAAATGAATAACTGAATTACTTTGCTGTACATCTGAAACTAACACACTAGTGTTAATCACCTATACTCCAATATAAAATAAGAAGTTAAAAAAATAATAAAATCTATTTAAAAATAACAGACATAAAAAATAGCCCATACAGACCACTAAAAAATAAAATTCATTTTTACCCTCAAATTTTTTAAACTAATGTTAAAATTACCTTTAAAACATTCCTTATTATAATTATAGGCTCTTATTCCTTTTTATAATTATAGACTCTTATTCCTTATTATAATTACAAAATATATAATTATATATTATAATTTAGCAAAATATTTGAGAGACCCCTGCCTTTATACCATCTTTAAGTAAAGTGACACACACCATCTTTAAGCAAAGTGACTGTTAACTTCTGGAAGTGTTGGCCCCGGGGACTCATGCCCTTGGAGGTAGTCATTGTAGCTCTGTACAGCTGAGTTTATGAAGGAATTCTTCCTCATTCTCAGCCCAAATCGATTTTTCTGCTACTTTGACTCGATGGTCCTAGGTTCAGGCTCTGAAGCTATAAAGAACCAGTTGAGTTGAGCTTCTTGTCGATAGTGACAGTAACAGGAACCCCTTTGTAGACTGAAAATAGAGGTTCGGCTTAAGAAATGCTTTAAGCAACTTTCACCAGCCTTGTTACTTTCTTCCACGTTAGTTTTTTCAATAAATAGAGCTCTAAATCAAGCACAATACTCCCCGGACACCCTGGCCCAGAGTAAAGAAGGACTGTCCCCTCCAGCAGGACAATTGCTTCCATCTATATGGGCTCCCCTGGTGGCTCAGATGGTAAAGAATCTGCCTGCAGTGCAGGAGACCTGGGTTCAATCCCTGGGTCGGGAAGAAGAAGATAGAATCCCACTCCAGCATCCTTGCCTGGAGAATTCCATGGACACAGGAGCCTGGTGGGCTATAGTCCATGGGGTCGCAAAAGAGTCGGGCATCACTGAGTGACTAACACTTCCATCTATATAGAGGACAGCCAAAGAAAGTCAAGTGAGATCATTTCTTTTAAAAGCACATAAAAGTAGAAACAGAACTTCCATTGTTTGGGCTCCAGATTGGCCTTTATCAACGCTTAAGTTGTCAATTTACTTGAAATGCTAATTCAGTACAATTTTTAAAAGAGACTTTTTTTTTCATTAGCCTTTTTTTAATGTGCTACTTGGGAGTGGAATTGTCATCTCCTGATTGTTCTCTTTTGTTTTCTGATACTGATAGATGTAATTATCAAGGATACAACTTTTTCCCAGCACCTCATTATTTTTGATTGATTTTGAGAACAATTTAAATGTGCCTTTTTGACATTCTTGTTTTCAGTGATACTATGGTTAAGGTACTCAGAGACTTTGAGAAAAGAGCATCTCATAAATTTAAAAAAAAATGATTAAGATCTCTAATAATGTATACTTAAAAAAACCACATTATTCTGATTAACCTCCTTCCCCATTCAATCTATATTCCATTAGGACTTAGGCTTCACATTTAGCCTCATCAAATTAAAAAAAAATTATACTTTGTAGTTGTAATTGCTTTGATTTTTTTTAAAACAAAACACTAAAGTATAAAAAAACATCAATGAGTCCATGGTAATCCTCCAAAACAAAAAAGGAAAAAAAAAATCTCAGCTGCTGCCATCGAAGAGACAATTATACAAATCTCTTGTTCTGAAAATTGATAATAAAGTCACAGAAGCATCATGATTTTTTAGGAGGAAGTGTAGTTCATGCTTTTTTGATGAGGGAAAGCTTTTCTTTACCAAAGGCTGACAGTAAGAGATGACAAAATTAGAAATTCACCATCTTGCAATGCTAATAAAATGGTCCAGGATAATTATTAGAGTGTTAGTGGCTCAGCTGTGCCTGACTCTTGGCGACCCCACGGACCGTAGCCCACCAAGCTCCCCTGTCCATAG